ACTCATTTATTTATTAATATTTGATCGAATGTTTGGTATTAAAAAAAAATTGTTTACTTTTTCAAGAAATTTGGTAAAAGTTTCGTTTCTCTTTTCCTTTTATTTTCTGTTTTTTTTAAGAAAAGATTTTAAAAAATTTTCCTCCATAAATCTTGTTCACAGAGGAAAGTCTTAGATAGGGCACAGCATATGATATGAAAACGAACATAAGATGGAGTAAGATTATGACCTTGTTGAGCAACTCGCTAGGCGGAAATGCTTATATAAATCTTCGTTTACCTTGGCCAGTTCATATATTTTCAGCAGCTCTGTTTCCTCCATTTTTCTACATTATTGATTTTTTTTCACTTCATTTATCTGTTTATAAAGATATTTTTACGGTTTTATGCTGCAACAACGTTTGTATTAAATCATCTCTCACTATTAAATATAATTTCCTTTTTTGATAATTTTTTTTAATCCTATTTTATTTTTATTTTTGTTTTTAATTTTTAATCCTATTCTGATGATTTTATTTATTTCCAGCTATTATTTTTACTACGTGTTAACAATTCACGAAAACATTTTTTTTCTTAAAATTTTAATATATTTTTATTCAAACATTTACAGATATTAATTCAGTATTTTTTTATTTATTTACAGATATTGTTAGGAAAAATATTTTTCGAAATTAAATATTCTAATTTGGTTGCAAAAAATAAAATTATTTTAATTAGTTTCGTTTTTTTTGTAAATATTTTATTATTTAGATTTTATTAACTTGTAGAAATTTTTTTACTTTTGTAAAATAATATTTCTTTTGTTTCAACAGTTTTGTATTAAAAATTTAAAACAAAAACGATTTTTTCTATTTTTTGGATTTTTTGAAATTTATTGAGAGTTTTTTACAATGAACTTGATTCAGTGTCAAGTGTGGATCGATTTTCTATTGTTATTATCCGATCGTTTTTTTTAAGAGCATTAAATTCTCGATGGACAAATAGAAACTGTATATTTTTCCTAGTTTATAGTAAAAAAGACGGGAATTAAAGTTCCCACCGCAAGTATTCAAGGATAAGATTAAGCGTTTATTTATCTCGCCTCATCGAGAGAGATTACTTCTTCGAATCATTTAACTGTTTACTCCCAACGATTTTCTTCTCCATTTAAGAGACCTCTTCATTAAGAAGTTTTCATCCACTCTGGCACACAACAACAAGAAGGAACTTTCCTTCTTATAATTATACAAAGAAAGATTAATAATTATAGCTTCAACTTTAATTGTTAAACAAACCATAACTTTAGTCATCTAATTAAACGAAACTAATAAAAAAACTAATAATTATTTTTCTTCTTTAATTAATATGATAATTATTATTTTTTAATAAAAATGTCTAGAATACTTTTTACTTTCTTATAAAGTAAAAAAATTTCTAAACATTTTTATTGATTTAGTAATTGAATGAAATTAATTATTTATTATTTATTATTTATTATTTATATTTATTAATTAATTAATTTATTATTTTTTTATTTATTTATTATAATTATAATTTTAGTTCAAAAAATTAATATTATTTCGACTTACATTAATTATTATATAACACTGTTTGTGATGGTAAATTGATGACAATGTTCCATTATCGTTTAGTAATAATTTGATGGATTGTTTATTAGGTAGTTGTTTGTTTAAATGATTAATTCAATGATCTGGATATATACACATATATATTATTTGAATGAGTAACAATACAGAGAGAATAACTTAACTTGGATGAAATTTAATTCCATAAGGGCTATGCTTCTAATTAATTAGAAATTACAGAGACAAGCATGATAAATTACTGCGACCTTGGTAAACTCGAAGGAAACCCAAATTTCCGTGTAATATGAGAAATTGTCCTCGTCTGGTATACACAGCAACAACAACAACAACTGTGATCTTATAGATTATATAATACGAAAACTGAAAATTGTTTATTTAGATTATATTTTTATTTTTTACTTTGAAAATTAAAAAAAAAAATTACGTCTACTCTCAATTACAATTTATTTACTTTTTTCCATACATTAAAAAATTATTTTCCTCTAAAAGTTTCTTTCACAATCTTTAAGTTTCAGAAATTTTTTTTGTTGACCTAAAATTAAATCCAACAGAAATAAAATTTTTAAAAAAATGTTTCCTTTCATTTAATATCTCGTTAAAGAATATTATACATTTTTAAATCAGTTACGTGTTGGGAAATATTTTTAATTTTTTTTTTCTATTTAAATTCTTCGCTCTCTTGACTTTTTAAAAAAATATAGAGGAACGGATGACAAAAATTTTCACATAGTTAATTTTATCAGTTATTTAATTAAAATGAGAAGGAATTTTGATTCAAACGAAATGAAAAATCTAAAAAAGTTGAATGTAATTAAATTGTCTGGAATTTTCTTTAAATGTGTAAATTAAAATAATGAAAAACCTAAAGAGACACATGAAAGTTACAGAGTAATTAAAAGAAAGGAAGACTAAAAGTTAATTAATTACATTATTAAAATTTAATGAAAAAAAATTTGATATATAATTTTCTTGTTGTTAAATTTTAGTAGCTTAATAATCATTAATTAACTGAAATGAATGACTTAATAAAATATAGATAATTAGAAGTAATAAAATTTAAAGGGATAGTGAATTAAAAAATCTACACTGCTGTAACTTAATTGAATTATCAATTTATGAGATGAGGTATAAAATTAATTTAATGAAATTAAGCTCAATAATTTTGTAACCATATACTAAATTTCGAGTTTTGTTGGCAGTGGTTACGAAGGATAATCTGTGTACCCAGTAACTAACGCACACCTGCTCAATTTCAGAGTCGAGCGTAATCATTCAATTAGCTATAGTCTTTGATTATATGGTATTCAAATAGATAACATTATTTTTATGAATAATGTGTTGAATTTAATTTAATTACTGTCAAAGTTTTGTTAATTAACATTTATGATTTCTTCTTTAAATGAATGAATATTATTAAACAGAATTTACTCTATATAAAATAAAAATATCATATTTTACCGCTTTTCAAAAATTGTTACTTTTGAATAATTTTTTTTTTAATATTTGATCTAGATTATGTCTGACTAAACAAAAGTTTTCTACTTTTAACACGATCACAAAAAATTATAGTATTTAATAAATGTTTGTTTTCTTTTAAGAAAGGGAGAAAATTTTTTTTCCCTCTTCAAAGTTTTTTCTTTTGCGACATGTTTGTCCAAAATTGTGTCTGACCAAACGTGACTTTTTCTACTTTGGAGAAAATTTCAGAGTGTCAACAAATATTGTCTGATTTAAATTCTCTTTTTCTACTTTAATCGTTTCAACGAAATAGACAAGAAAATTTTTTTTATTTTCATATAATTATTCATTTTTTCATTCCACTTTTACAAAAAAATGTCTTCCACTTTAAAATAATATTTCAAAATCAAAAATACTGTCTGTCAGAAAATGACTTTTTCTACTGAGGAAAAAATTGCAAAAATCGATTGTCTGATATTGGAACTACTTTTACTACTAATAACAAAAATCAAGGAAATAAAATATTGTCTGATAAAAAATTAAAAATTGATTTTTCTACTAATAACTTAGTAAAAATTGAAGAATTGTCTGACTAAAAATGACCTTTTCTACTAACTAAGATATTTAATAAGATCTAAACCTGCATTATTAAAATACTATCGAACTTAATTTGACTTTTTCTACTTAACAAAAAATAACAATTCTTAAGATACTATGGGGAAATATTAGTTATTTATTTCGAAATCGTAATTAATTCTTACATGTAAAAAATTATTGTACAATTTATTTTCTTTTTTTGTCATAAGTAGGGGAATGTAGTCAAGGTTGGCCTACTGTCTAGGTAGGCCACTCGCGTTTTTTTGTCAAGTTCACTAGCGCCACCTACGCGCATTTTTGTCGAAGCTTGTCTTAGTGAAACCTAACTTTTTGTTCAATTACATTTTCGGAAAATCGAAAATTGTGTTTTCTGTGACGTCGGTACAAAAAAAGCTCAAAAAAAGTTTTGTGCATAATGTGAAAAACCATTAATAAAAGATAAAAAACAAATTGAATCGTCAAGGCAAGTATGCAGAAAATTTGTGGGACTCATGGTTGAAAGGAAAACAAAGTAAAAAATCGAATCCCGAAACGTATTTCTTTATGGTTACAACAATTCGGTAATGTTACTTACTGTCAAGGTCGGCCACTATGTGTTTAAAATGCGCAAAGATGAGGACGAGCTACTTCATTTGCAAAAACTGCAATTCTGTATAACTCATAATATAATTGATCATCTTATTAATATTTTTATTTAATTTTATTAATATTTTAGTGCAAAATTTTTTTTTATTTATATTTATTTTTTTATATTGTTTATTTTTATTATTTTGTTATTTCATTAAGTTACAAACTGTAAACAATAAAGAATCAATTTTCCGTAACTCCAAACATGTTATTTTATTTTTTAACGATTAATGCCCTTTGAATTTTAAACATGGCCGACCTTGACTGTAATGGCCAACCTGGACTACAAATTTTTTTTTTTTTAAATCTTTATAACTTTTTCATTTTTAAACCTGTCAATTTACTTTGTACAGAAAAAATGTTCCTATTAAACAGGACTTTCCAACCATATACTTCAATTGTCCAAATTTATTTTTAAAAAAAAGTTATAAACAAAAGTCAAAAAGGTGGCCGACCTAGACTATGTTCCCCTAGAAAAATAATTTTTTAGTCAGACAAGTAAATAAGTAGGGTTTTTTAAAAGTAAGTTATCGTTTCTTTTTTCAGAGAACAAATTCAAAAAATTTTTTTTTATTTAAATAAAAAATGCAAATTATTTTCTTATTTATTTATTTTTTTTATCTACTAAATAATAAAATTTTTTTGAGGAGAAAAATTTATTGCAGCAGAAAATAACAAATCATGTCTGATATGTGTATTATAGGATTATATTGTAACATGTAAATTTTTCTGTTTTCAGTTGCTCGAAAGGAGATTTCCTCAAAGTCTTTTTGCATTTGGAGAGTAAAGGTGTTTCCGAGTACACGCCTTGGACTGGATATCTCTGCGGCAGCTTGCGCGATATTCCACAAGTTCTTTATAGTTCGAGATCCACCCTTATCCTCGAGTTTCACAGTGAAGAACCACCCTCTAATGCAACGGGTTTTTCTGGGACATTCCGCTTTATTGACAGCCGTGAGTTTTAAAAAAAATATTTCCACTCATTTTATTTTTCAAAGAAAAGAAAAATTCCGTTTTCTTTTTTTTTTTAACTAAATATTTAATGTAACAAAGATTTAATTTGAGAAAAATTAAATTTTTTTCAATAAAAAATTAATAATGTTTTGAACCTGTGAATGAAAAAAAAATTATTCCAGTTCACAAACAAATATATAGTGTTATCTCAAAAATAAAGATAAAATTTTTTATTTCTTTGAAAAGAAAGTTTCATAAAACGAAAATTTATTAAGAGAAAAAAAGTTGATTTAAAAAAAAAAATGTTTTCTCTTTCTCAAGGTACATAATAGATTTGACATATGTTTTTATGAATATAATTTATGTGTACTTGAGTTAAGGTACAAGTTCGTGACGACAACGACGACGACGACGACAAAAAAGAAAAAAAAAAAGGAACTGTTACCTTTACTGTTCTTTATACTCACACGCAACACAAACACATATCAGTGCCCATAAAAGTTGGATGAAACTTTTGCGTACGCTAAGATCGTTAAAATGTTTCGCATAAACGAACAACTCTAAAAAAGATATTTAACAATACAACCATAAATGTTAGTTGCTTCGAGAGCTTTACAGAATGTCGGTATTTACGATTCGAGATTTCTATAGCAGTGGTCAAATCATGAAACGATTCATTTTTGGATTGTTGCCAATTTATTACAATTTATTACTGACATTTTTCGAACATTTCGATATTATTCAGTATTTTTTTTTCATTGTTGTTGTTGTTTTGTTTCCTTTTTATTTGGTAATTTGAACTGAAGGAAAAATGGATTTTTTGTTTTATAATTATTAGTGTTACTATTTTTTATTATCGAAAAAATATAGTTTGGAAACAAATTTGTTCTTCTATTATTTTCTGTACATTTATTCCATTTATTTTATTTATGATTTTTTTTCTTTTTTTTACTTTCTGTTTTTTTAAAAATCAATTTATTTTTATTTTTCACTTCTATTTGTTTTACCTATTTTTTATTTGTTTATATTTTTATTTCATTTTCATTAATTAATTATTTTTTTTACTTGCTTGTTTTTATTTGACTCATTATTTTCATTTTCATTTATTCCTTATTTTGTTTATTTACCATTTTATTCATTTTATAATTTATTTATTTACCTATCTATTTATTTATTTCGTTATTTATTTCAACTTTACCAAAAATGTTTATTGAAAAATAATTAATATACATGGAAAAAAGAAGTAAATATGAAAAAAAATTAATAAATCACGTAGAAAAAAAAGAAAATTTCTCTCTAAAATAAAAACTTTCCTCTAATTTACATTAACTGTAAAAGTTAGAAGTTTATTTATACTAAAAAAGATTTATTAACGCAATATATTTTTATGAAAAGATTTCTATTATTATAGCAACTTATAATAACAAATCTTGTTCATTCATCATTTTCTCGTACAATAATCACTGGCATTGTCACATAATGCCTGTTATATTTGCATATATTACAATCTCTATGAGTAAAATAGAGAAGACAGTTATTTTTAATGGTAAAGAAAGATGTATGTCCTTTATGCGAACTTGCGACATTATTTCCATTTGCAGACACTAAATGATAAACGTCTATGTTTGCGAAAAAATTACTTTTGCCCTCTTACCCCCTCCCACTTTCTATCAACATAAATCATATTTAATTTGTCATTTTCTTTTGTTAAATATGCAAATAAATTAAATCTATTGCCATCATAGTGACTTTAATGAAAAAAACGAATAGTAAATATTCGTTTCATTTGAAGAAATAAAAAAAAAAAAAGTTGATAATTAATCAAATTTCAGTGAGATAAAAAATTATAATTGTTACTTGTTGCAAATGATAATTAATTAAACAAGTAATTATTAATTATTGTATTAGAATTAGTAGTTAATTGTTATTATGTTACAAGTCTTTATTAATTGCTATTATTGTTACAAGTCATCATTCATTAATATTTTTTTAGAAAAAAAAACAATCAATTATTATTTTGTTACAAACAACAATTAATTGTTTTGCTTCAAAAAACAATCAATTATTTTGGTTCAAAATACAATTAGGTATTATTTTCTTTAATGAAATAATTAAATATTCTTTTATTGCTGGTAACAATAAATTACTATCTTTATAGAAAAAATTCTGTAATAATTAACATTTAATTATTATTATCTCATACTATTTGAATATTAGTAATTGAAATTTTGCTTCTGAATCAGTTATTTTTAAGTGATTCAAATTTAGAGAGTAATAATTAATTATTATTTTTTAAACTAGTAACAATTTTAATTATTAATAATTAATTAATATATTAATTTATTAAGTTATAATGGAAATGGACAATTAATAACCTAATTAATAATTAAATTTAAAAGATAAAAATCTTACGAGTAACAAATAATTGTTATTTTATAATTTTTTTATAACAAAATCAATTATCAATTTCCTATCGACAGTTTATTATTTGTTTATTATTTATACACTATACATAAAATAAATAATATTTATGTATTAGAATGAATAATTATTTTATTAAGTAATATTTAACTGTTATTGTTTTATATTCTGGAATTATTATACTTTTTAATTAAATGATTAATTTTGTATGTGAGAATTGAAAATAATATAAAATTGAAAAGGGGGAAAAATGATAAATAATAAACTATGATGAGAGTACAGCTTGATGATAATATTTAGTAGAGATTTTCAAATTCCAAGTGTATGAATGGAACCACTTTAACGTGAAAAGCAACCCTCTTTAAAAGGATATTAGTCTTTTTTTTCGTCAAAAACTGGTTTTACTGGCGTCGCGATGTCTGCTCCAGTCTCCGCAACATGAATTGGTTCTGCTACCAAAAGATAAGGAAATCCAGAGGAAGATGAAATGCTTTTTAAGTGTTTTAATATACAGGCGATTTTTAACTTGATTTTTCTTCTTCTTCTTCTTCTTCTTCTTCTTCTTCTTCTTCTTCTTCTTCTTCTCTTTTTTCTTTTTTTCTTCTTTTTCTTTCTTCTTTCCTTTTTTATTCTTTACTTCTTCTTTTTTTTCCATTTTCTTTTCTTCTTCCTTCTTTAATTTTTTACCTGTTTCTTTTTCCTACTTTTTTATTTTTCTTTACCGTATTCGTCTTTTTTTCCTCATCCCCTTTTTATTCACAATTGTAAAAATTCTCCCAACGCAAAAAAAAACATTATTATTCCCATAATTTTTCTCACTCGTGATTAGTATGCGGTGAAAAAGTTTATACGTGGTATAATAATGAAAAGTTTTGCCTAACATATTTTATGTAACACGAAAAGTTTTTAGCGCTCTCGACATGCGCAGCACAGCAGTAAACTTAACGTTATTTGCAGCGATAAAATGAACTATTTCAGAAATGATTTTTTTTCATTGCCCTTTTCTTCTCCCTGCAAAGAAAAAGAAAAAGGTAAATACACATTTTTTCACTAGATGAGCAACAAAAAAGGGGGAGTTAAAAAAAAAACTATTCTTTACTGTCGTAAAGGAACGAGAAAAATATTTCCTTTTTTCTGTTATTATTAGTGAAGACAAGAAAGAAAGGACAATGAGGGTCAATTTTTTTTTCTATCATTTTCACCTTATGGCTCAGTGTAATAAATATCGTTACGATAAAGCAGTGAAAATAGATAGCAGGGTGAAAGGAAAGTGGGATGAAAGGAGGGGGGGTGGTGGTGGTGGTCGAAAGGGTGGAACTTACAACCGCCCTAAGCTAATTCATTTGCCACGCTTCCTCGCTCCTGGCTCCAATCTCGTCCAAATTCTGCAATTAAAGGAGGAAAATTGCAAGCGTCTCTTCTCCTAACCGCGTACAGTTTAATCGAGTGAATAAAAAAAAAAAAATATAATAAAATTTTTTTTTTGTTTTGATCATTTTAGTTACGGTTGAATTAACTCGAAGATCGTTTTCGGTGGCTTGTTATCGGAAATTGAAAGACGATGAGGGTAAAATGCAATTAATGGTAATTTTATGAAGCCATTAACGTCATAAGTTTGAGTATAAAAACCAGAAAATAAAATCTTAATTATCCTGTCATATATATATATATATATATATATATATATTTTTTTTTTTCGGTTTTTTATTTTGGTAAATAGAAAATTTAACGAGGAGTCTTTTGTCCGACCATTGCATATTCGCGTAAAATTTAATATGAGTTTAACCTTTACTAAGTTGGAGATTTAAGCTAGCAGCATATATACGTCAAGATTGTAGGGAGAAAAATGGTTAGGAACTTTCGTCGTTTAAGCTGGTCATTAAGCTTAATGAGATTACTGCATACAATAGATTCTATAAATAAGGGAGAGAAATTTTCCAACCGCGTTAGGAGTGAAAATATCATTTACAAATTGGTATATAATGATCAAAAATTTGTTTTGTTTTTATTTACGATCAAGTGATTCTAACTTCATTGAGAATTAACTTTATTGAATTATTTTTGAAATTTGAAACTTTATACGAAATTTATTTTTTGAATAACGTTATTATTTCTATTATTTATTTTATTGTTTTTCTTTATTTAGTAAAAGAATCTTTTTATCAAATTATTAAATTATTGAGAAAAAAATACTTTGCAGTTATTGTAGAAGTGAATGAAGAGTGTCTGGCTATAAAACTGACTTATACTACTTACAAGATAAAAATTACAAGAGAATAAAAATTGTGTATAACTAAAACTTCTCTACTAACAAAAAAACCTAGAATAAAATATCGTCAGAAGAAAAATGATCTTTTCACTAATAAAAAATGACTAGAATAAAATATCGTCAGAAGAAAACTTAGTTTCCTGTACTAATAATATTTATAACAAGAAAAAAAATTGTCTGACTAAAAAATAATTCTTCCACTGACGATATTACGTAAATTAAATTATTGTCTGACTTAATCAGACGTTTTCTACTAATAATTGGACTAATAACTTTACAATAATTAGAAACAGACAAAACTTAGAAAATA